AAAAACCGAACGCCGAAAACCGAACGACGAAAGCCGAACGCCGACTTAGGTGGTTTTGGTTCTGAGCAAGGACCAGGGATTTTAACAATAAAGAGATTTATCTAAAATGTTTATTTTGATGCATAAAAACATTTTATGATTTTGTAAAATAATTTTGACTCTTTGAGAACCGAGACTTGAATTGATTATCGGTTTTGATCACAAAAGACCGACTCGACTAAGTCTTCAATTCTTGATCTGTCCTTGAGTCTTTTAGGTCTTGTTCCAAGCCATTCTTCACGCCTTGAGTTATTCAACGAAACTCTTCATATCCACGGCGGTTTGGCAATTATCAAAACCTGTCAGAAATGAACACGACTTTAGTTTAACATACAAAGTGTGTTCCAACAATATATATATATATATATATATATATATATATATATATATATATATATATATATATATATATATATATATATATATATATATATATATATATATATGTATGTATGTATGTATGTGTATATATATATATATATATATATATGTATATATGTATATATGTATATATATATATATATTATTGACAGAGAAAGAGGAAGTCACCACTTTAGTTCTAAACCCAGATAAACAAATAATTATTGATTGTCTTTTAAGGATAGCTCTAGATGTGCAAGATCCAAAAATGGATGGACCTATTCATACGGAACTAGAGCTAAAGTGGATGGATGAAAAAGAGGATGATGTGGCCAGAGGAGATTACCATAAGGAATTTGAGGTTCTCTTACCTTTGTTTGAGAAACACATCAGCGACGATTTTGAGCAATCAATTTGGGTCATTAAGGATGCGCTAAGATCCCCATTCATTAAGGAGAAGATTCAGAAGGGTTTAGTTAAAACTCTGGAGGGTAAGGCACTAAAAGCGACAAGAGATGCGATGAAGAGCACTCAGTGCATCAGGGCTATCAAACTGAAAGATACTAGACATCCAGTCCTATTATCTTGTGCCAACATTGATAAACCAATAATAACAACCATTTGTTGTCATCTCATCGACTATGAATGATTCGGAGTAGGTTGAATGCTACTTTATGGATTATTGTATTTTTAAGAACTGTGATGGGAAGTTTCAGAATGGGATGTTTTTACTTTGCTTTATGGCCTTTGCTAAGCATGGAATTGGTCTTTATGGCTATGATAGAGAACAATGTGTTTCTAAGGGTTAAGCATATTTTAGGTCTGTGGAGTTGAATTCCTTTTGGAGTTTTGAGAACAATGTGTTTCTAAGGGTTAAGCATATTTTAGGTCTGTGGAGTTGAATGCCTTTTGGAGTTCTGATTAATGGAATTAGCCTTTTGTTAGGTTTTGTGATGTTAGTGTTGGCTTTGATAGAAGAGCAGGGCTGCAGCACTCTGTTATGGACATTTTCTTAATAAGAATTTAGCCTCTGGATGCACACCTAGCTTCATGAGGTTGCAAAGGGTGTTGTAGGATTGCCATGCTGCACTAGAGGAAGAAGGTTTAAAATTGAAGATGGCACCAGTTAGGGAGAAAAGAGTTAGTCTCCCTCAAACAATAGCAGTCTCTTACAGGCTTGGGAAATATCAATAAGTTTTAGTTTGCAAAATAGAACGAGAAGAAAGAACGTTTTTGTCAAGACAGGCTTGGGAAATATCGCTAGGAATCTCCAGCTTGACCCACACTTGGTTTGTCAAGATAGTTTTTGTGTTTTAGCTTTTTGGATAATATGCTCCTCACATCTATAATATTCTATTCCAAAATATTTTATTTTACTATTTTACAAATAAAAAAATTACTTATTATCCCATTGTTTAATTCTGCTCCTTAAATTGTCCAAAATGTATGACCCGTATAGGCACTAATAAAGCAGGCTATATCATTGGCTCTGCATCAATTACTACAAGCCATAAGCGGTATCTAGCAACACATTATTGTCCCTAGATTATAAGTTAAGACGTTTGCACCGTCAAAACCTTTCCACGACTCAGACTCCATGTAACTGTATCTCTTTATCTCAATGTCTAGACTTAATGCAAGGGATTAATAAAATCCAGTTTTTATCCAACATTGTTTGCTTCGTGGAGGTGTCGCCTTCATGCGTGGCTTGAAGCAAGTCCCATACCTCTTTGGCCGTTTTGCATGAACATACTCGTGCAAACTCATCGGGGCCGAGAGAGCAATGGAGAATATTGATTGCCTTTGCGTTCATGGATAGTTTCCTCTTGTCCTCCGAAGATAAACCTGCAAGGCTACCACTACTCAGCACAAATGGCCCGTGAAGTACATTTAACCATAAATCAAAATCAATGGATTGTATAAAATATTCCATCCGCATTTTCCAATAAGAATAATTTTGGCCGTTGAAAAACAGAGGGCGGTGGATGCTTTGAGAATCCATTTGGGCCATAAATTTGAATTTTAAAAAATTGGGAAAATAAAATTTTGAGATTAAAAATTCAAATTTAGAAAAGGACACAACAAGTAGATCTTTGTCGTAGATGCGGTTAAGCACTTTCAACTACGAAACCGCTCTGATACCAACTGTTAGTCGGTTTAGTCGTTGTGCCCACGCCTTAGAGGGGGGGGGGTGAATAAGGCGTTTGAAAACTTTTCGGAGTTTGATAAAAACGGTGTTGGCAAATGCGGAAGCAATAACTAAAACGCAGAAATAAAAGCGTAAATAAAATGCACACCAATTTTATACTAGTTCGGGAACTCCCTACTCCAGTACTTCGAGGCTCCTCCTAAAGGATTTCCGAATCCACTAAGTCTCGGCCTCTTGAACTCCGTCAAAGCACCGCACTAGTTTTGGCAAACAACCCTTGCCAATAGGATTCACTCCGAGATTTCACAACGGCTATCTCGAACCGTTTACAGTGAAGATTTAATGGTTATCTTCTACCGTTCCCCCAATGATTTCAAAGGCTATCCTTGAACCTTTACCCAAGGATTTATACGGCTATCCTTGACCATTACAACGTGAGAATTTAACGGCTATTCTCGACCGTAAGAAGGTGTGTTTGAAGAACACAAAAGAGGATTCTACACAACGGCTAGAATATAAAAATGAGGAACAAAACTTAGCCGGTGTAGAAGGAAAGTATACTCTCTCAAAAATACAATTCAAACTTATGAATATGAGAGTATATAACTAGAAACACAAGCTCAAAGTGTGTGTATAAAAATCAGGAATTTAAGGCTCTTAAAATAGCCAAAAAATTGAAAATAATTAATAAAAGGATGAACACACTTAGAATAAAAAGAGAGGGTGTTTAGAGCTTTGTTTCTTAAAGAAATATGAAGGATTAAGCTTATATTTATAGTGGAAGATGTTAATTAGCCATTGGAAGGTGATTATGGTTGATTTAATTTAAATTGGCAATTTGCTACAGTGCTGTAACGGATCCGGTACCCTTCACGGTAGGGGGGTCCGTGTCATCCGGTACCTAGGTACCGTGACACGGTACGGCCTACCGTGTGGGGGTACTGTATAGGCCAAAATAAGTTTTCGCCTCTGGCGGTACCGGGTT